TTAAAGACCAAGTCACAGTGCAACATTTTAGTGGTTGAAACGGTCAAATGTTTAAGCATTTTGTGGTTATTTTTTACAACCAAAAAACTACAAACCTAATCAAGGTGTTTGGTAACAAAGACTTATTAAACACCACCTGCCGCATGGCTCACCGATAAGCTTGTTAGCTTATAATGCTAAAATAATTCAGGATTCGACTCCTGTGGTGAGCACATGTAGTTCAAATAGTCAGTTGTGCAGCTTTGTACTAAAAACTAAAATAAAGTATTAAATAAACGACTCTCATTATTTAAAATATAATTTTACTGGGGATCCGCGAAAATTGGGCCTAAAACAAAGACGCTGTATTAATTTTAATTCTAGCCGATAAAAATTATGTTGAATTAATTAAATGATACAGTATGTTGAAAGATGTTATTGATTTTACTACAGCACTGTTTTTCAATCACCATGCTAAAGTTATAGGTTGGGGGAACTCAAACTTTTTTTATTCACATGAAGGGAGCGTCAGACTAAAAAGAGTTTGGGAACCACTGCTTTAATCGATTATGAACAAAGATGAAAACTGCCGCCGCCTGCCTTACACCTTTATTGAGAAGGATTTCCACAAATATTAGTTTGTTTTGAATTTCGCGCAAAGCTACATGAGGGCTATATGCGCTAGCCGTCCTTGGACTATTGGGAAAGCAAACTAGTCAACACCACCCACCGCCAACTCTTTTACCAACGAATATTGGGATTAACCATCACATTTTAACGCCTCCACGGCTGAAGTGGCGAGCATTTTCGATGACGGGCATTGGAACCAGCAGATTGCGAGCCGAGTTCTCTAACCATCAGGCCACGCCCACCAACAAATATTTTTAACAGCCTTCAAAATACACATTCTGAATTATAATTTTGTTGTTGTTTCTGTGACAAATCATGTACAGTTAACCAAAAGGAAGGAAAAAATATTTATCTTTTTACTGTTGCCTTTTATATGTCATGGAGAGTTAACTGATCAATGTGATATATTACGAGGGAAAAATATAATTATTACTCCCTCTATCAGCGGATGTTGACCTCTACGAGTTAGTACACACCCTGCCATATGTATCAAGAAACCGCAACAAGCTCTGCAATGAAGCCCAAGGAAGATATAAACACAGAAGAAAGTTGTATTAGTAATTCGAAGTTTATACATTTAAATTAGGGGAGATTATAGGCTGTTCGAAGTGTAACGATCGTACTAATTGGTGATCAATATCAAATTTAGAAGTGGGTTTTTAAGTTTCTTAGAGCACACTACTTTCTTCCTGATCCTTTCTCGTCTTCTCTTCTCCCCTTTATTATATCCCTCTCTCTCGAATACGCCAAACCGCTCCTTTTGTGACACTGAATTTTATTCCTATATATATCTAATTATAACGTTTCATAGCCATAGAGGTCTTATAGTCCCAATACCAATAGAACTTAGATAGTGAGCCGCCATATCAGCTCATTCCAATCATTTTGTTATGACTTAGAATATAGTAGTTTCCTAATTCCTTACATTCACTCTACTCCAAACGCCCCAATTCCTTACATTCACTCTACTCCAAACGCCCCAATTCCTTACATTCACTCTACTCCAAACGCCCCAATTCCTTACATTCACTCTACTCCAAACGCCCCAATTCCTTACATTCAATCTACTCCAAGCGCCCCAATTCCTTACATTCACTCTACTCCAAACGCCCCAATTCCTTACATTCACTCTACTCCAAATGATGTCACTTTCCGTCTTACTTTATGACACATCTTCACACCTTTTTTCCGCTATACATTTAACAATGTTAATCGTATTCAGTCTCGGCTGTATTTCATTCTAATCTCGATGTGATCACTGATTTCGCTATTCCAGCGTATCATTACGATACTTCTTTACGTATTTCACCAATCAGCATTTTGTGGAACATTTTGATAATTTCGGTCTTTACTTATATAACATTAGCAATTCACAGCCTTTGCCTAGACACTTCACAAATGTTAGTATCTTATGTATGTCACAAGTCGGTTGGTTGTCGTAGTTAAGCACAAGGATACACAATGGACTATCTGTGCTCTGCTCACCACGGGTATCGAAACCCGATTTCTAGTGTTGTAAGCCCGCAGACATATACCACCGTGCCACTACCACCACAAGGTGCTAAAGATTTCTTTAAAGGAAGTGATTTTGCTACAATTACTTTCACAATATATTTTGCCGGAAACACCTTATCTCATAGAAATATCTAGTGAATAACTGTATTATGTGTATTGCTCCTAATTTTGATTACACGTAAATAATTACACGGATATACATGTTACAAGTGTAATATGTATTTCAGCGAAGAAGTTAAACATTGCAAATTACATTATATAGAGAAATAATTTGTTTCTCGTTCTTTAGCAGAACAAAAGAAGTTGTAAGCTGCCTATTTGTAATATTGTAAAGTAGTGTAGTTAACTGCATAAACGAGGATTAATATATAAGCAAGTTAACCCTTTTGTTCGTAAAAAACTACAAGCAAAGTCCTTGGTTCAAGTAGAATAGAAAGTAGATAATTTCATGGTTAGATATTAAGTAATGAATGATCAGATTCTAATACTAGTATTATATAAGCCTAAATACAAGAATTTTAAAAATCACAAAAGCGAGAATGCGAGTTTTTTTTAGTCTAATAATACACTGAACTTAAACTTAAAAATGAGATTTCGTTAGTTTCTCATCATTTAACATATGCAATCTACTGGCCTGAGATATGAACAATTCATTGTCAATCAATACTATATAGCTACTCACTACATTAATTTTCTCAGTAAAATTACATAACTTAGCTTTTATAATAATTACGGCCTCTTTAAGGTTTTGTTTGTCTGACTGACTTTTTCTTCTAAACTTTAAAATTTTGACAACATTAAAATGTCAACAAAAACCTACATTAACAGTAGAAGGTAAATGAATGCAAGTGATAAGTATGTTTTAAAAGGTTCCTATTTAAAGACAACGACAGAAAGAAACTCCGTTAATACTTTTGAGCCACTCAAGTGTTTATACATGTATCAGATAGGTCAGTGTAAAAAAAAAGTTACTTAGATCATTTTATTTCAATTCTGAACAGTGATACATTGACTTCTAAACATAACTTTTACATGATAGAAAATAGAAAATACAAATTTTTAAATTGGCCACAAATGTTTTTGTTTTATTTTTTTTTCACTAAATTTAGCAACAGTTATTGGAAATTAAAGTCTTGCTAAAGGAGGCAACACCTATTGTCCTGTATAATAGATTATAACACAAGATTTTACTACTGCTACTTACATTAGATATGCAAGTCTATAAATGGCCCCCACACTTTTATGTGTTATTTTCATATGGTCCACCCGATTATTAATACTAACATTTCAAGTTCTCAACCCCTAATAACATCAAATTTGGGCAACTAAAAAGATTTAATATAATTTATTTTTTCAAAACTTCTCATACAATTTTAAGAAGATTAAAATTATGCTATAAAATCGCTTTTGAATAAAACAAAAGCTTAAATGTGATTAAATGTTTTTCAGCAAATTATTGAATATATTTCCTGTTTTTCTTAGCAATTTTTCTAACAAGTAACAATGAATCACAATTTTTGAACAAAAATAAAGATATCTGTAAGATCAAAACTTGTATAATGACTTAAAGCTAAGCATAGTGAAAATTTAATGCAATAAAATAGGAATAACATTCAATAACCAAATGATTCCAAATAACACTAGGCCTCATGGCTAAGACAATGTTTCATCAAATAAACCGGAAAACTGTCACTAAATCAATTTGACAGAGATTAGCATTAGTAATCTACAGAAATAAATAACTTTGAAAGAACTTAAACTATAATACAGTTAAAGTTAGTAAAATGGTTATAACTTTAAAAACTTGTCTTACAATACATGCAGCTAATAAAATCAACCAGATAAGAATAATTGACAACAGCAATCCTCTTCAACCTCTACCACATTCCTCATTAAAATTAGTCTGTAAAATAACGAGTATTGTTGCAAAAATTATTTGTTCCATTAAAACTTTTCAGTAAATTTACTGTTGCTTGTTTCACAATATTACCTTCTCGGTCAGTTTGAAGGAAAGAAAAAAAATCCAATGAGAAAAATTGGGTGTTTAAGATTTTTAAACTCCAACATACATGTGGTGGGGATAAAAAAAAAAATACATGCAAAAACATTCAGATGTTAAGAATTTATAGAAATGTACATAAAAGATTCAATGTATCCTTTCATGTTAAAGAAAGAGAAATAATGCATGTGCAGTGTTTTATTAAAACAAGAACTTACTTTTGGAATGTTTCACCAATCAATTAAATGACTTGAACATTAACAAGAACAGTCTGCTAACATATATACACATATGTATGCATGAATTTTACATGCCTCACTAAGATTCAACTATCTTGTTTCTGCTAGGAAGTGCTCATTAATGACACAATTAGTGCATTTTCTCATAAAACACTTTTCTTTAGTAGCTACACATCCTAAACTGAAGCTTACAGGCAACAATCAAGACTTCTTTCTATGACAACTTGTATTAAATCAAGAAAAGCTAATACATACAGTATTTAACACAATATTCCAACAATGTATTTTATAACAGCTTTTAGTAATGAAACGTTGACCATACTTTAATATCAAGTAACAAGACGGTCGTGCTTCACCTTCTGAATAGATAGTTCATACCATTAAATAATTAATTTGTCCTATATGGGTTCTTAGACAAGCACATTCTACCTTAGTAACAAATGGATTAATAACTAATTATCTAAGTAGGGTAGAAGTGTGTAAAATAAAACAAGTAGAAGAGTTCCATAGCATTTAATATACTGTATATTTAAGTAACATGGTTATATTACATCTATCAGTTAAGTGTGTATGACATCACAGCTTCTCCTTGCAGCATTAAGCTATGAATTACACAGAATATGAGTATAGTAGTATTGTAATCAACTAGCATCTCTGTACAAACAGCTGTCCAAGCCTGTACAAAAGCCTTCCATTAAGTGGCTTCTCTCTCCTTGCCTTCTCGTCCCGTACCTCCTATCTCCTTGCGTGCTGCATCACGTATGGAGGATAAAGTTTTGTGAAACCAAGTGTTTTTGGAAGCTTGCAACTCCTGAAGAGCAGTATTCAGTTGATGAGTCAGATCCTAACAATGAAAAAATTTATAAAACTTCATTATGACTTTTTCAAACAAGCTAAAACAATGCCAGCTACAAGCAAATGGAAAATGCTGTAAAAAAAACAACAACCAAAAAACATGCTTTTATTTTCTGTTTTACTTCAAGAAATAAATAATTCCAGATTATATTATACATTTTTTTGTATCAGCTTTAAAGCACCTGATGAATTTTTTGGTTTTTTATTTAATTTTATTTCACGCAAAGCTACACGAGAGGTATCTGCACTAATTTAGCAGTGAAAGACTAGAGGGAAGGCAGCTAGTCATCATCACCCACTACCAACTCTTGGGCTACTCTTTTACCAATGAATAGTGGGATTGACCATCACATTATAATGCCCCCCACAGCTGAATGGGCAAGAATGTTTGGTGTGACGAGGATTCGAACCCGCGACCCGCAGATTGCGAGTTGAGTGCACTAACCACCTGGCCATGCCGGGCCTGATGAATGTAAAAAATATCTTAAACATTACAATGCTAGTATACAAGAGTTGACAAAATCTTTGAAAAATGAAATATTGGCTATCAAATAAGATAATGAATTTAACTAAATTTACAATAATCTGGTATACTTCATAGCTTAAGAGTTAAAAAAAAAGTTGCATCACTTAAATAAAAATAAATGTGTTGAAATCTACATTTGAAGAACATCACAAAAACTGCCATGCATGTGACTAGTGTCCAGATATTTATAAATTGTTTCAGATGATGGATGTTTTGAACTTCATATGATGGACATCACAAACACTAAGTGTATATAACTAGTGTCTGAATATATATAAACGTTTGGTTTCAACTGATGGAAGTTTTGAGCTTCATATGATGGATATCACAACACTGCCATGTATATAATTAATATCTGGATATTTATTTATAAATGTTTGTTTCCAATCATTTTTATAAATAATTAAATAAATACATTTCTAAATATTGTATTGAATATGTTGAGCCAAAGCCAAGCCCTACCATTCATGTAACAGGAAAACTTTACCTTATATATGGGTTTTCAAATTGACTTGACCAAAGCCAAGCCTTACCATTCATGTAACAGTAAAACTTTACCTTATATATGGGTTTTCAAATTAACTTGACCAAAGCCAAGCCCTACCATTCATGTAACAGTAAAACTTTACCTTATATATGGGTTTTCAAGTTAACTTGACCAAAGCCAAGCCCTACCATTCATGTAACAGCAAAACTTTACCTTATATATGGGTTTTCAAATTAACTTGACCAAAGCCAAGCTCTACCATTCATGTAACAGTAAAACTTTACCTTATATATAGGTTTTCAAATTAACTTGACCAAAGCCAAGCTCTACCATTCATGTAACAGTAAAACTTTACCTTATATATGGGTTTTCAAGTTAACTTCAAAAATACAGAAATTAAAACAAAAACACTCCTATAAAGTTTATCATCTCTGTACCAGAAATTATCACACAGATTAAGACATGAAAGTCACTTATTATTTACATTGCATTTAGTTGATTAAAGAAAATGTGAACCAAAACTTGTATAAAAAATAGGATTATACACTTAAAGGCATTAAATTACCTCAACGAAAACAGTGTAGTTTTACTAACTTCTTTGATGATGCAGATAAAGTAATCCATAATTTTTCTGATTATCTTCTAACTTACATTATGAAAAGAAGTAAGCTGGAGGCCTAAAACTTTTATTACTCCCCCCCCCAAAAAAAAAGTTTCTTTTGTGGAATTTTTTTTCACCCACTAATCTATTTCTCAGAAAATTGCAAGACTTCCTAATTTTATCAAAAGATCTAAAGTTTTCCTGATATTTGTACAATAATATCTGGTGATACCATGAACTGTTTCCCAGAATACAATGGAAAACCTAAACCCTTAACATTTCTATAGTTGAAAGAGAAGTAAAAATATTGTTATCCTAACACTTGATAAAGATAATGGTACTGTCATACTGAATAAAGACGATTATAGTAGGTGATAAATATTTGAAAGATTGGAGTAAATTCAGAAAAACCAATAGAGGAACCTACATCTAGGAAACAAGATAGGTTACAGAAGTTTCTTCTCAACTTAAAGAAAAAAAAGACAGGGTAGTTTACAGCAATCAGACTCACAGGATCACATTTTATAAACCTTATCGAAGGCTCACAAAATTGATACTCCAATCAGATATGCAGTACATAATATTGACTCACTTAATCATGAATTAAGTTTCAGAGTTCATTTCTCAAGGATTCTGTAAAATACAATTATATAGTTAAGTTATATATTAGACTTAAAATTTGATACTATTTGTGCTAAATTTGATGTAGTATCTTTATATAGAAACATTCCAATTAATGAAATAATAAAACTGATGTGTGACATTTTGATTAAAATGAATCAAAATTTAATGGCTCGACTAAGTACATGTTTCACTTGTTACACAAGTTTTCTACCAAACAATAAGGTTTCATTTTCAACAGTGAATTTTAAGATCAGAATGACAGTATGGTCATGGGGGTCAGAGTTAGAACCTAGTCTGGCTACTTGTTCTTCAGTGAAGATATTTTTAAAGAACTGTCCACAAGAATACAAACTTCCAATTTATAAGATATGTTGATGATAATTTAATAGCATTTAAAGAGCAGTCCCAAGTTATTTCTGGATTATCACAACCAATGACATGGATGTATTACATTCACAGTAGAAAATCAAGAAAATTCAGAATCTTTTCTAGGTACTAAGATTAGAAACAAAAGTAAATGGTTTGAAGTTGACTATTATTACAAAAAATACTTTAACTGGTTATATAGTTTTAAAAAAAGAACTTAGTGTAGAACCTAACCTACACAGCTTTTGTTGTGCAGTGATGTATGTATTATCAAAATGAACTACTGAAAATCAAAACAGTGTTTCTGAAAAACAGCTTGAAAGTTGTAAACTGTGTAATACCCAGAGTGAGAAAAACATCACCAATGCTGTCATCTATAATATTACACGTTGTCTGCTGACTCTCATCCTAATATATCTAGCTAGACACATTAGTAGCTAAAAGAACAATTATTAGGAAACATTATTCATGGAATGATGCAAGAATTATTTTCAAAGAACAAGCAAGAATCCACTTTGTCTTTAGAGTTAAGTACAGAATTCTTGTTATAAAACAATCATAAATTATCTACATGTATAATTATTCACTATGTGAATGAGGTTTTAACAGTTAAATCTTTGTAATGTGTATCAAAGAACACACAACTACAGCTAAGGAAATAGTCCTCTATCTAACTACTGATTGAGCATGGGAAACACCTGTAGACATACAACACTTTATGATAATGGGATTAGGTCAAATGAAAATACACTTTGGATCACGGAGTTTTTGTACATTAAAATGTTTCAACCAAACCCCAACTTAAATATTTCACTCACTAATGCAATTCTAGAAGATGAAAGTTGCACTGGTTTTTTCCCTATTGTTCACCTAACAAATCACTGTTTTTTTCCCTATTGTTCACCTAGCAAATCACTGTTTTTTCCCTATTGTTCACCTAACAAATCACTGTTTTTTTCCCTATTGTTCACCTAGCAAATCACTGTTTTTTTCCCTATTGTTCACCTAGCAAATCACTGTTTTTTCCTTATTGTTCACCTAGCAAATCAAACAACAACACATTAATAACTTCTATCTCATATTAACCCCATTTTAGAAACTTTTTTTACTTTCTACAATGTATTAATAAATGCTTTACTTTTGCTATTCATTGCAATATCTAGCTAAGTACTTACTTAAATTATGGATGTATGGAAAGATACAAATGTTTTATAAGCAGGCCTTTTTGTGAGTAAAAACCAAAGGTGCATGCAAATCATGTGGGTGCCTAAAATGATGTGCTATGATAGGGAAATAGCAAGAAAATATTTCTAAGTTACAAATATTTCCACATATTAATAGAATTATAGATTTTATAAAAATGAAGAAACTACGCAACACTACTATGTACAAAGGTTTGCTACAATTTTTATTTTTATCTTTGCTTTCTACAAGTTCCTTATCTGGATTGTTGCATATGGTCTCCCTCCTTCTTTTAAAGTTTAGTATCCAATAATTTCTGAATTCCCATAACCTTGAAGCACTTGCAACAAAATTCTGTTGCCTTTTGGCTACCAACCTGTCTGTTTGTTTCATGAGCAATTGCAATGAATTAAAGATTTATTACTATGCTGTTCAACATATCTTCATAGATAACATATCTGCTTTCCTTTTGACAAACACCAGGCTTAATTAGCTTTACATATTCACCTATTGGAAATCAAATACCAAGCAAAAAGGACCAATTCAAATCACTTCATAAGAAAAGTTGTTGTTGATTAACGTTATTCAACTAGCCCTGTGACAAATCACAAATGTAGTAGATTTAACAAAAATGCATTACTATCCATTGTAAATGAATGCACTGTTCTTAACTGTAACACATGACAACTCCTCACAGTAATAATGACTGAAGTTTACAATCAACAATTTTCATTACTGCAGCTTATACACCAAAATCCCAAACCTTCACACATAATAATTTTATGATCAGCATATGCAGTTGATAAGCATTCAATAACACAAGAATTAATTCTTAAGTTAGAATCCTGATGTATAAAAGATGTCAGCTACTTTACATGAAAAATGTCTCTACTTGAAAAGTACATTCTTACAGAAGCAAGCAAGCATTTTCTCCATACTTATCTTAAAGGATTTTTTTAGATAATACTCAAATCATTATTATATGCCATTTTATATATATAAAAAAATAACAGCAATGTAGCATAGGTTGTGTGTATTTAAAATGCACAGAAACAGTATCAAACAGAAAAAATAAATAACAGCATACAAATATAAAAATAACACTTTTTCTACCTTTTAATTCCTTGTATGTTCTTTTTAATCATTTGATGAAAAACCATCTCATTTCTTAGTATGGATATAGAAACCTGATTTTACGTAAACTGTATCTTTAATTAACATTTGTTTGTTTATGAATATGACATGAGTAATGTTAGAATATCAGTGTGTTGCCTTAGCAAGAAATTACAAACTCATTCAACTGTTCAAGAACAATCCAACAATACCAACAACCTTAAAATACTAATCAAAATGTGTGGAACAAAGTGATATGGAGTAAAACAAGTTGTACGTTAACTGGTAACTATTTCCAAAATGGAATACATTGAGTATTTTAAAGATATTCAAGCATGAATATGAAAATAAGTCAAAATTAATTGTTGTTTATTATTTGGTTATAACAGTACCTAACTAAAAGTCTTTACATCAGAACTGATGTGAAGGACTTGTTTCTTTTCTTTCTTTAATTTATCATTAACAAAGGTTGTGAATATTGTGATGAAATACAAAGACTGCATCAACACAAAGTTTCAGTTACCAGTGGCAATGTAGCAAATGGTTAGTAAGAAAAAAAAAGCATTTTAACCACCTATATTCTAAACTCTGGTACATTTTCAAATCATTAATTTCATTTCAAATTAGAAGAAAACGTTTATCAAAAATCAATATTATGAAATATATATACGTATTAGCACTGCCTTTTTCTCTATCACAAAATAACTCTTAATAAACAATTAACATGTTTAGTTATAATTCTTCATATTTAGCTCAAATACTTAAAAAAAAATTAGGTAAAATACACTTCAAAACATTCTTCTTTGGACTGTAAACAATAAAACTCCTTGTTACCTGGTTTTTACATTCTGATTCTACTAGTGCTAGCTTGGTTTGAGCAAGCTCAAGTTCAAGTTCCCTGATTTGTTTATCTGTATCTAGTAATTCAGGAGCCTTGTCAGTTGTCTTGGCTGTATTGATCTTCTTCTGACTACCCCTCTTGAAGATATCCTGATTCTCCAATAGTTTATAGCAATGGTCACATCCTTTTAATAAGTTCTGTTGGATAAAAACCATATATGAATGAATAAACAAAAACTGCTCTATTAATATAACTGCTGAACCTACCAAGGTCTGTTGTTAACCCTTTAAACCCATCATTTTTTGCACATTTTGCTAGAATTATTTTCATGATGTACTAAAAATTATAACCATACCTTATAAAAAGGTGGATAATAACATGGTTGGGATTAATTTTCAGCCATAGAGACATAAATGTTATTGGATGCTATCACTGTCTGAAGGTTAAATCGGTATTTTCAACCAAAGTAGCGTCCACTAGTTAAAGAATATTACTTAGTTTATGAAAATCAAATCCATATAAAAGTACAAACAATTTTTTATTTCTCTCAAAATAACTCTTATTTCTGTTATCAAAAACATACCTTTGATAAGTTTTTTTTGTAAAAACAACACTCAAAATACATGAATCAATACTTACCAACAACCTTTACTTCGTTTTACGTAAAAGGTATACAGACAGAGTTGTGTAACATGTTTTAACTACTTTTGAGTAAGGACTGATCATTCAGATTACATTTTATTTAATAAACAATTACTTAATTCCATGTAACATGTTTTAACTACTTTTGAGTAAGATTGATCATTCAGATTACATTTTATTTAATAAACAATTACTTTAAACAATTACTTAATTCCATGTAACATGTTTTAACTACCTTTGAGTAAGGATTGATCATTCAGATTACATTTTATTTAAAAGGTAAAACAGATGTTTATTAGAAACATGGGAAAATACACATGGAATTAAGTAATTGTTTAAAACAACATATGGTCTATGAAATACATCTGCATTTCATTTAAGTTCTAATCAACTTGTATTATAAAGCTTGCATAGTAGTTTGACAAAGGTAGTTTTTTATGTAAAAAAGTCAGATATTCTAGAATTTTGATCCTATTCTTTCAGTTAACTATTGCCCCCCCTCTAAAAAACAAACAAAAAAGTTAAAGAAAGATTACTTAATATCTATTCATCTGTGTATCAGACTACTTTATAAATTATGTAAGATTATACGCAGATATTCTGGCAGTTGTAAGTGAAATAAGTATTAAAATACCAAATTTGTTTTGTATCTGTACATACTAGAACTACAAAAGATGCATTTTCTCCTTTTTTGTGATTTTACATATTTTTGATCATTCTTTAATTTATACCATAACATTTAGGTCTACATAGTTCAAATTGAATTACACATATCAATTTTTTTCTCAGTCATACACTATAAAGTATGCCTCCACAAGAGTTCCATATAAGGTGCTTTAATAATAGCATGATTGTTTTTATGTAGAGAATACAACAGCATAACTCACAAGACTTTTAACTATTTCAACTGAATTATACAATAAAACTCAAGCAGAGACATAATCAGAGTCCATTTTTGCTAGAACAAGAATCACATTTTAAAATACTTACCATCTTATGCCACTCTTATAAATTTTAGCCATATTTTAATTACAAACACATGTTTATGACTGAAATGTGGTAAAAGTATAGGCTGAAGATAGAAACTGCTTTAGGCTTAATGTTAGTATAAATTAAAGGTTAAATAAAAATGTGTTTATTAGTTTATATGCAATGTAATTTTTTTCATCTAAATTTATATTATTTATTTAATAATAGTTAGTATGCACACAAAAGTAAGATAATTTCATAATTAATGAAGAGATGTATTATCCAACACTTATCTTTATCTCAATGAAGAAAAACAATCATCTTGCTGGATCAGGATGAGCATGTAGCACAAATAAATCACGGATCAATTACTTTACCTTTATAAAAGCTACATAACATCTTGCAATCAATATAAACTATAAAAAAGTTACACAATACATGTATAAAAAATATTGTTCATGTTTAAATTTCTCTCTCTAAATTTTAAGTAAGTGCTCTGTTTTACAGTAGATAAAATTATTAAAATTTCATCAAAAATTAAACTTACTTGCTTACATTTAGGAGGCTTCCGAGTGAACAAGAAACATAAGTATGAAACAATTTTTAGGGCAGTGTCATGAAAAAACGTTTTACAGAAGGTACACTGGACATAAAAATATATATATCTATGTTCATAACCAGAGTTGTCCATCTGTGTGCTATTTATGAGCTGCTTAGTATTTTGAATGTTGTATCAGAACTCAGATACCAGTTATTGATTAAAAAAACAAAAAACATGACTTTATTGTACTTCACTGGTTTTATATGCAAGTCTAATACAGTTATAAATAACAAATATTAAGTAACTAAGCTTCAAAGACACTAAAATAAGTCCAATTTTTAGTTTCAGTTTTATTATTTATCTTTAATTTTAATTTGGTGATTGGCAAGCTACCAATTGGACAATTCAGTTCATAAACAAAGTACAAATTTTTTAATAGTTGTCTACTAATGTTTATATGATGTGCACCATGCTTATGTAAGATCTAATAGCTTGAGATGTTATTTTTGGTGAAGCACTATGAAGCTGAGTTGGATCAATTAAAGTAATGCTTTAGAAGTTAAAAGTTAAGCAGTTAAATCCAATATAAATCCTATGTAAAATGGGTTTTTGCCTACAAAACTTAAAATTTGGGTAGGGTAAAAAAAAGAAATGGACTTTTTGTTTACCTTTAGCTGTTCAACAGCTTCTTTACTGGTATTCTGTTCTCTTTCCAATCTTGTGCTGAGATGGCTACAAATCTATGGTGAATAACAGACAAGGAAACATTATGAACATATTAATATATTTTCCAACAAATAAACAAATACAAGTGAGCTTTCTCTAAATAAATTCAAAAGGAAGAGCAAGTCCTCTTAAAGGAATCACAAAAAAATGTGCTATATGTATATATATATACATATCTTGTCATATCTACTTGATGCACATTACACAATGAACAAAAGGCAGAAAATTTGTAGACACCATCTGTAAGATGGCACAATACACCAAAAGATTTCTATCAGAAATATTTACCTGCTTATATTCAGATATGATGGTATTATTACGAGTAATTTCTGTCTCAGTTCTCTGTAATTCTCGCCGACACATCTCCTTCAACTGTCAAATTCATTACAAATATCAGTAGATTACCACATAAGAAAGCTTCAATATGAGATATAAAAAACAAACAGATTAATGAAAATGATTATGTAGTAAGAGAAAACCAGAAGTGTCTATTCTTTACTAAAAAAAGCTGAAATATTTATGTACATTATGCATTTCAGATTAATAAACAGCCTATCTAAAAACATAAATAAATCACATACACAGGCATAAAGTTAACTCAATCACATTTATATTATCTATTTTACTGGAAAACTTATAAATTATTTAAACTTTCCAGATGTTTCCACCTAGTTACAACTAGACCACCAGGAGGAAGTTTATGTCCCAAACTAAATAAATATTCTTGAACCATATATGACTAAATCAGATTCAGAGGGATATTAGATGCACTGAATTATATAGATACTCAAGCATCATACATGACTAAACCAGAATCGGAGATCAGCTTCATGTCTCAAAATCTTAATCATATGAAACCTTCCCCAGAGCAGGAGATGTAAAACCACATTCAGATTCTAAAATAGCATGAGATACTACAATAAACTAAACATTCGTCAAACCTCTTAGTTATCCCGCAATTAAATGAACCTTCTGCTGATTCTACATTACTTCTTACTATAATGGGCATAGGTGTATGTCAGTATGTAACCAAAACTTCTGCACCATCTATTGAATGGCACCACAAACAAAAATCCATAAAAACATTCACACTTTGAGTATTCAAGATTCAGTAAATTAGAAAAATAATTGTG